TGGATGTTTGGATGTTTGGATGGATGGATAAATGGATGTTTGGATGGATGTTTGGATGTTTGGATGGATGTTTGGATGGATGTTTGGATGTTTGGATGTTTGGATGGATGTTTGGATGGATGTATGGATGGATGTTTGGTGTTTGGATGTATGTGTGGATGTTTGGATGTATGTATGTTTGGATGTATGTATGGATGTTTGGATGGATGTTTGGATGGATAAATGGATGGATGGATTATAGATGGATGGATAAATGGATGGATGGATGGATGGATGGATTATAGATGGATGGATAAATGGATGGATGGATAAATGGATGGATGGATAAATGGATGGATGGATTATAGATGGATGGATAAATGGATGGATGGATTATAGATGGATGGATAAATGGATGGATGGATGGATGGATGGATGATAAATGGATGTTTGGATGTTTGGATGGATGAATGGATGGATGGATGGATAAATGGATGTTTGGATGGATGGATGGATGGGTGGATGGATGGATGTTTGGATGATAGATGGATGGATAAATGGATGGATGGATGGATGTTTGGATGATAGATGGATGGATAAATGGATGGATGGATGGATGGATGTTTGGATGATAGATGGATGGATAAATGGATGGATGGATGGATGGATGTTTGGATGGATGGATGGATGGATGGATGGATGAATAGTCATGTTCCATCCCTCCATCTCTGGATTCAGGAGCTCCTCACATGTCTCCAGGCTCAGAAAACAGTGGATGTTTAACCCTTTAAAGCCTGATCCAAGAAAAACAGGAAGAATATTGGAGGATTTTTTTTTAGTCTGAAGTCTTTCTTTGGCCCCTCAACAACACATGAAGAAAAAATTATTTTGATCAAATTAGCGTGCAATAAGTCATAAATCTATGTTGGTGTAGTCTTCTACTGGCTGTTATCAGGTATATCTGAATGTGTTCAACAGGGGTTTGAGCAAAGCTTTTACCACTGAATGATGCAGAAAGTCTCACATCCAAAAGAAACCGGATCAGATATGACACATTTGGCTTTATAGGGATAATCTGATTAAATGCTACTTCTTCTAAAGAACACTACTACTACACTACTTTTAAAGAACAAACTAAACGGGGAGTAAAAACGCTGCTGCTAATTTGTCTGAATGTTCCATCTGGATTTGTGGTCTAAATTATATTTTAAATTGTTGATATTTCAAAAATTGATATTTAAATTGGCACTAAATCCTGAACTATTCTGGCCGTTTGGGGGTCCTTAGATGAGAGATCTGGGGCTGAGACATCCTCCATTTCAGTGGCTTTTCAGACTTCTTCTTATCCCTCTGGAAAAGCAAACTTCTCTACAGCACATTTCTTCTCCACCTGCAGAATATCTGTCTGCTTCCATTTGATTCCTAACTTCAGGATTGACAGTTTTTGTAGGAAATCTGAGAATCCTGAAGGGAGCAATAGACTAATATCTAATGGATTTAAAGGCAATGCAACAACAGTGAGAAAAAACTAATAATTTGACCTGTTTTTATAGGAAATAGATCAGATTTGCTTCCATCATGGAAGTGACTCCATGTTGGATGGTCAGCAGGACACTTTGAGTTTGAGCAGATTTTTATCTGGACTGTTTCTCTGCCAGTGTATGAATTCATCTAAATGTATTTTTACATGTGTTTAAATCTATTAATCCATTATCATTACCATTTATTCCCTAATGGGGTCGCGGGGGAAAAATGGAGCCTAGTCTATTTATCTAATTCATTACAATTTTTTAAATTATCCCTCTGGATAAATAAAGTATTTTTAATTGAATTGAATTGTAATATTCATACCATGATACAGAAATATTGATAATCAATATTCTGTGT